GCCATCTTGCAGAGCCCACTCATACAGTTGATATGCAGTGGTTATTTGATGTTCTGAAGTCATCTGGAGGCTAGCTTTCCTTGCTTTTATTTTTAAAACTCCCCCTGCTCCATCGCATGGACCTTTTCCATGGGCAGTGGCATGAAAGTGCCATTCCGCAAAGCCAAAGTCATTTTCATGATTGTATATAGTTGTAAAGTGTTTGACATTTTTAAATTGTTGCGGCGCTCCGTCAGAGAAATAAATGCATTTTCGAATATTTGCATTGAAACGTGATAACCATTCATTAAAAGATTTTAAAAATACATACACGGCTACCGAGTCATGTTTTTTACAATCGGAAATAAAAATAACTGTTTGATGATTAATTTTCCCACCATCGTTGTAATAGAACACAATTGGAAAAATCGTTGCCTGGTCATTATTCCAATGAAATCCACTAACAGCGTTCTGGACAATAAAGGCATAGTTTTCAGCAAAATCGCAAGTGACTAAGCATTGGTCGATCTCTAAGTTGTTTTTCAAAGTTTTATAATAATTGGCTTGCTCCTTTGCTATAAATGAATGCATTAGAAATGTTTCGCTAGCCAAACAATAATTTTGGATAAACGTTTCGGTAGAAATACAAATGGTTTTCAACGTTGTCCTAGGTTGTGAATTCCAATTTTTGTAAGTAACTTCATTAATTTCGTATTTTTGAAATATTGCACTCATCAAACCCTCCAGTGTTTTTGAGATTGAACACTCCTTGCACATATTGAAAAAACATTCCTCCTTCGGATTGGGACACAACGACAGCATTATAACATCTTCGTAATTAACTACTGGATATTCCTCTTTTTTCATTAAAAGCACCAAATTACTGCCTAAAAATATTGAAAACACATACATATACACATAATTAATAATTTTTGCATGTAAATTCTCCAAGAGTTTCTTACCTAATGTCATAAGTTTTATGTTTTCATGGATAGGGCACGTGCAGACGTTATGCGTGCCTCCAGAACCTGCTAAAATGCAATGTGGTGGTCTAAGAGAACAAAATTTGGATAGGCCAATTGCCACATTAGGATTATCTTTAACGAATTTTGAATAAATTTCTTTCAGATTCCCTAACACAAGACGTTTTTGAAAAATTACATATTTTCCATCGATTTTAACAGATTTCTTATCTTTCTGTCCTGGCATGAGAGAACTTCTTTGATCATACTTATTGTTTCTGCAGAAAGAGCCTTTTCTATAAAAATTTTGAATTTGTTAAGTGCTTTTTATATTAAACGCAAATCCCATCTTACTATTTCCTTTGCTATTCACAGAATGAATGTTAATTTCCCGAAATTTTCTTGCCTTTGAGACAATGTATCGAGAAGTATTCATCATTTTTGCTGTCTTGTTTATACTCCATTTTATATCTAAAAGTTTTAACAGCTCAATTTTTTCTTGGGGAGTTTTGCCAGGATTATGAAATTGATATTTTAATTCTGAAAAAAACTGGGTACTGTACCCATTTTCCTCCTAGAAATCAAATTAATTTGATTAATTTAATTAATTGAAATATGCTAATGAAATATGACACTAGTTACTTACCTCACTGTCAGAATCGTAAAGGGAATCACCGTCATCAGTATCAGAATTATAATCCGATTCCTCACAAATTGATGCGGAGTCCTTAAAATTATTTATATCACGTCTACAAGAGCCACACAAAAGATTTGTCGGGCACAAGGATTTGAACCTATCACAAATATTCTTTGACGGTCGACGCAAATTATTTGTATGGACTTTTGAAGCGTGCGATTTTTTTTTTAAAGGATTACAACAAATGTTCTTGAACTTCCTTGTAGACATTTTATAAAACAGAATTTAAAATAAACTGAGCTATAATTCGTAACTAAAATTCCAAAGTGGTTGTGGTTCAAAAGTGCTCCTCAGAAAAAAACCGTATAAATAGGTGCCCGAATTTCTTATTTTAATGACAAAAAAAGATGTCAGCATGACTAATACGTCATCCGCCTGTTGAGTTATGCACTAGAATGCTGCTAAAATGAAGTATGGAAAGCGATTTTGAAAAGTATTTATAATTTTTTCTTGCTTAGGGATTCGTTATAAAAAATCAGCATGTATTTTTACGTTAAACTGAAACTTGTTATATAGTTTGAGATGCTTAATTTTAATATTAAAAAAAAATAATACCAACTCATACAAAATGTTTCACAAAAAACATAAACAAACTGT